ACAAGTTAGATGACTGATTCACATATGGTTAATTGAACTATCGAAAAACATAAATCTTAGAAATTAGTTTTACCTTGCATTCCAGGAAAAATAGCTTCATTAATTTTTTTTTCATAATCATACATTTGTACTGAATTATCATTTTTATTAATAACTTCTGGTCGTTTTGGTCCTTTACGATAAAAAATCATTGCAGCTCGTGGTCCACGTAAACTTTTATGTGTTGTTGTTGTAACAATATCAGCATATGGAAATGGATCAGCAACAACTTTTGCTGCAACAAGACCGCTAACATGTGCCATATCAGCAAGTAAAATAGCTCCAACATCATCACATATCTGTCGAAATTTATCATATTCGAGATTACGTGAATAACATGATATTCCTGCAATAATGATTTTTGGACGAAAAAGTTTTGCTGTACGTGCTAATTCTTCATAATCAATTAAACCTGTTTGTGTATTTACTTTATAAGGCATATTTTCAAAAAAGACACTTGTAAATGAAATTTTTTTTGATGGTGTCGCATAACCATGACTTAAATGTCCACCATCAGGTAAATCTAAACCCATTATACGACCATGTGGTTCAAGAAGTGCAGCATAAACAGCAAAATTAGCTGGACAACCAGATAATGGTTGAACATTAACACCCCATTGATTTTCATCAAGACCAAATGCTGCTAAAGCACGTTTTTGTGTTAAAATTTCAATTTGATCAATTACTTCATTTCCACCATAATATCGAACACCGGGATAACCCTTTGAATAATTTTTTTTTTTAAGTAAAGAAAAAAAAAAGAAAGATATTTTTTAATCTTACTTCACTATATTTATTTGTTAAACATGAACCAAGTGCTTCTAATACACCACGTGATGTAAAATTTTCTGATGCAATCATTTCTAAACCACGAACCTATATTTATAATTAAAATTAAAATAAATGTTTTTATTTTTAATATTTTCTTTCTACCTGTCGTTGTTTTTCTTTTCGAATTAATTCATACATTTCAGGATCACATTCTGCTAATGGTTCAGTTAAAAAGCTAGCAATTTTATTATTTCCGCTCATTATAATATTATCTATTTTAATCTAGAAAATAAAATATAAATAAAAACCATCAATGATTGATGTTATATTTATATGACTAGAGCATTGTAACAACCATGAATATACATACTTTTATAGAGTTAGAAAAGATTTATCCTAAAATCTTTTTTCGTCATTAGCATAGTTTCATAGAAGAGAAAAGAAATACATGAATAGAAATGCTTGCTTTTTGAAGAAAGAAATTGATGTTGTAAAATATCAAAAGCTCTTATTTAAAAAAAATGTTTTTGTGTATGATATGTTTCGAAGTAGCTTTTTCTTTGTTTATTCAATATAAAGAACTATTTTTAAAAGTTCTTAACTAATAATGATTTTAGGATTTTGGTAAGTGTGGGTGCTTCAATAGAAAGAAAGGTGATCATGAGCTGCAAAAAACGTGTTTTAAAGTCTATTGAAGCTAGTATCGACTTATTTTTTGATATTTTCTACTAAGAAAAATTGAAAAAGGCTTTTGAAAGTGTAGGATGATAATCTACAAAAACTTCGATATTGTCCTTAAAATGTACTTTTATAATATCGATAAGTTGCCTTCGTGTCTTAAGATAATAGACAGACTTTTCTTTCAATAAATATAGACTCATACTAATGATCAATATAGGACTAACATGGCTGACTGATTTTGTCGTTCTTTCACTTGTGTAAGTATTAACAATAACAAAAGCTAATGTATCGCTCTTCTAATGTAAAAATACACACAGTCTTATCAAAAGATATATGAGAATAAGTCGTCTATCTATTAGAAATCTACTCTTCAAAAAGATTTTAGTATACGTATATTACTAATCGATCCATTCTGTTGTAAAATCCATCGTTTTTCGTTTTAATATTATCATACAAGAGTACCATTGGCTGAATGGAAGAACGACAAAAATGACTATTTTCGTTCTTTATATAGAGGTCGAAGTTTAATATCAAAGTCGCATGCCTCACATTGTAATAGCTTATCCTTGAATTCATCATGCCAGTATATCGACTAACGAACAGAAGAAAAGGAAAAAGAATCATTTCAAACTTGTTATCTTTTGCTGGTAATCGATCTTCTTTGTATTCGTCGATAAGAGAACTATTTGAAGTAGAATGTCCTTAATAATGCTTAAGATTTGCCAACGAGCTCGAATACAGTATCTGTTAATCTCTTTTATTTTCAATTGGAATCTATTTTTCTT